ACCAACTTATAACTGGGGGGGGCACCACCTTGTAGTCAAACGTGGTAATTGAAAATCCGCAAAGGGTGGTTTGATGGAAAAATCATTTATAAATGTGGTATTTTCCATTGTCATGTTTGATTGTGAGAGGGGAATCGAATCCAACCTAAAAATACATCAACGGAAGGGCTACGAAAATAGGAATGAGAAATTCTCGAAATAGACCCCATTGTTTTTTGACGCCAAAAGGAACAACACCCCTAATATTCCTGGAAATCAGTGGAAGTTATAGGAACATGCCTGTGCATCAATTTGAAAGTTCTGCTTTGAGATGATGTCTTTTCACGGGGCTGCAACAAGTCCATGTTTTGCAGTGATAGAGTACATCATGATGTAACATGCACGCATGTGAAAATTCACTCGCCAGTCGCCAACCACCTAGGTCCGACTAACCTCAGTTGGACTATCCCATGATTTTAAGGCCCCCCTCCCAACAGATCCCAACAGCCACCGTGGTCACCGTGATCCTAGCGTCCACTTGGCACCTTTCATGCGAGGAAAGCACTCGAAGTGATGCCACCTCACTGCACCTGCGGGGCCCAGTCTTTCTGGTATGTTGCTAAAGAACCAGTCCGAAAGTCAGTATAAAAGTGAGTATGAAAGTCAAATGCTTATCATTTCCAGAATAGAAACTATAGAGACTGAGTTGAAACATGTTTAAAATATATATATATATAAACCCAACATTTAAGCCATGAAGCTGTCTTTCCACAAACTTGAAGACCTGCAAACCGGTCGACCACGCTGGGCTCCAGTTTTTCCAGCCTGCAACAATCATGCTGCGCGTATCCATGTCGTTCTCCTGACGGCCAGGGGGATCCGTTCCTCCCAGCATCTACAGGTCATGGTGGCTCCCAACTGCCACAAAATCTCCCCCTTTTTTTCAGGGTCAGGGTGGCAGAACTGCCTGGCGGCCTGGCCTTCAAAGTCAAATCATTTTCACCAATTTCCTGGCAATGACCTCAGGATGCGCCGGCAGAATATGACGATTCTGTGGAGATTCCCACGATAGATTGATAGGATGGGATGGGATAGGATAGGATAGATAGACAGATTTACAGATTTACATATTTGCATATTGATATGTATATAGAGAGAGGGAGAGGTAAAGTTGTAAAGGGTGGTAAACCGTTTACAATCAACCAACAGGGTTTGTTTGCACTGCTCAAATGACTCACAGCCCATGTCTGAGAGAAAGTCGTGACTGATTCGCGGCGCTCAGCCACTGACCCACGCGCAAAGAATCTTTCACGATCTTTGCCATGCAAACCTGGGCAAAGTGGTGCCCCCATGCTGAAGCCGCGAAGTTTGCTGACAAGTACAAAAGGTAACTTGGGTCCTGGTTCATGGATATGTATATGGTTTTATTTAGTGTGGCTTTATATGGTCTTATAGGGATTATATTGGGATAATAATGGGATAAGAGACCACTTATTGTGAATGATTACCTCCTGGCAATCAAAGATGGACAATAAGTGGTAATTAATAATCGGGATAATAATGGGTAATCAATAATGGTAATTAATAATGGTATCTTATCCCATTATTCTCTCTTATCCCAATAAGATTGGAAAATCCCCGTGACAATACTATGATTTTACCGTTACAACCAGCACAACCACCAGGGGCCACCAAGATTTCCCAGCCAGTCCCGACTCAAGAGATGAACTTTTCGAAAAACTAACGACGAACTTTTTCGCATCCCCAAAATGTGATGTATGTAATATGATATTATATCTGGTTGGTGGTTGACCTACCCCTCTGAAAAATGATGGAGTGAAAGTCAGTTGGGATGATGACATTCCCAATATATGGAAAGTCATAAAATTTATGTTCCAAACCACCAACCAGATATGTATAGCGGGGTATCATCATCTCCTTCTTGCGAAAATCCCTCGGATTTTCCAGATGTGTTTCCCACTGACACCCCCCTTTTATGTATAAGGTGCTCAATTGCCATGTTTGATTCCCAGAGGGTATATTTATAAAAATGCCATATATATATATGGTGTATATAATCGAAACTATATATAAATGCCATATAAATGCCATATAAATTGTGTATATAACCAACCAGCAATCATCAAAAAATCCTCCTCCCCATCTCCAGCAGTGCAGCTCGACATGTCGCCATGCTCGATTTCGCATATTCCACCTGAAATTCATGGCATCACCCAACGGCAATGCAGACTTGGCTGCAAAGCCCCTCGGGACTAGAGTTAGAGGTGGAAAAAAAAATAATATATTTGTATGTATATATATAATATATATATAATATAATATATAATATAATATATAATATAATATATAATATATAATATATAATATGTAATATATAATATGTAATATATAATATATAATATATAATATATAATATATAATATATAATATAATATATAATATAATATATAATATAATATATAATATATAATATATAATATATAATATATAATATAATATAATATATAATATAATATATAATATAATATATAATATAATATATAATATAATATATAATATAATATATAATATAATATATAATATAATATATATATAATATATAATATATATATAATATAATATATATAATATAATATATATATATAATAAAATATAACATATATATAATAATATATATATATGTTGCCATATATGCTTCCAGATGGTATGTCAGACACTATGTCAGAATGGTGTGTCAGAATGGGGATCACTCGAAGAAAGTAATTATTTTGGGAAGGTTCCCCAGGAAAAATCGGGGCCCTGATTTTTGACGGAATGGTAGCCGAGTGGTAGCCTGATTGAAATTGAAATCATCCAAGATGATCTAGAATCATGTGAAAATCATGTGAAAATCATTGAAAATCGTGTGAAACATATCCGAATTATCACCTTCAATCACAATGATATGCTAATGATTAGCCACTTGGAAATCAGCAGGAGCTGATACTGGCGACAACAAACAGAACGATGCTCCGGCAGAACTGGCTCACGGAAATCCACCAATTTCCTCTTTTCAACAAATCTCTGGGTTAAAATCAAAACTGCTTGGTGGTTTTAACCATCTTGAAAAATATGAGTTCGTCAATGGGAAGGATTATCCCATATATGAAATGGAAAATAAAATTCATGTGTGAAACCGCCAACCAGCTTTGAGTAAACTGCAGACTGTTCTCTTCGAAATCATGGATGAAACATCACTTCAAAACTCATCAAAGCTCCAAGTCCACCCACAGTTTCAATTCAATGTCAAGTAATCTGGGTAAATTACAATATTTCACTAACCTGAATTAAGGTCATTTGGGGATGATTTAACCATCATTCCCAGTGAGGTCGCAGTGAGGTCGTTATAATTTGCCCAGAAGTAATGTCAGGTAATGTCAGAGTAACAATGTTTCTCCTGCAGCCAGGTGCAGGATTTTGCCGGGTATGCCCATGCAGTTGCATATTGTGTAGGATGACACTTGATACATCATGCTCAGTACTAACCGAGATTAAACATATTAAAACTGGTTAATGTTCAGTATTAAAGTATACTAAATTCATATTAAACCACATTAAAACCATGTTAAACCCGTATTAAACCCATATATCAAAATATATCAAACATGTTCAAACCACTTGAGACCATTCGATGTGACTTTGAGGCATGCTCTTTGAGGCTCTCCATCTCATCTTCACCCAGGATGTCCCCCTTGCCAGCCAAAGGCACCGAAAAAACGTGCGTCTTCGGCATCTTCCACACCACGCAGAAAAACAAGGAATGCGGCTGTCCAAGTAAAAAAGAGGATGGTTCAAAAGGAAGTGGACATTGAATGTTCAATGGATGTCAATGGTCGATATTTGTTTGAAACATCTTCAATTGACCTCGACTACTTCTATGGACCGCACAACGACCAGCCCGTCACGGTTCGAAACATTCGCCGTGCTCTCGAGCCATTCGAGTTGGTGCAACCGCGGTTTTCGACGTGATGGGAAGCCCTTCAACTGATGGCTCAAACATCGACCGCCCAAATGGAATCGACTGATGCCAGGCTGGTGAAGACTACATGAAATCAACATCAGTTTCTCACGATCAAAGCTCCAAGATTGATAAATGACTAAATCATGGTGAAGCTGTGGCGGAGATTGGCTGTCTTCAAATGACTAATAACCAATGTCCTCCGAATGCATTGAGTAGAAAAATGCTACAAAAGATTCCTCCATTAGAAGGAATCAAAAAACTAAACATTGCCTCACCAAGCATTCATACTGTACAGTACGCCATGTCACATTTTTCTGGATCATGTGCAGAGAGAGCATGCGACATCCCATGTGCCAACACTATTTCACACCCACAAGTCAGTGATGTTCCCCCTCCTTCCAGAACCATGAAATGTGCATTGGTTAAATCCAACCAGATCCGCCGTTTTAAACGGGTGAAATAGCAGTAAATCATCATTCTTATCCAGAACCCTTGAACCCCAATAAAATCACCAATTTCATTGATTACGTATCCCAATAGATCCCAATTGTCTTACCTTAAATCAATGAGATATATATTCATTTATATATCAAAAAAAAACTCATGAAAAAAAACTCACAAATTCAATATGTATGTATATAAATATATATACATGTAATGTATATCCCCGTCATTTTCATTTATATATATATACAAATGTGCGAACGAAATCCCCAAGAAATTCCAAAGGTTTATCCCCAAGAAATCTCACACCTGAATCGATAGGGAAATTCCAGCAATGTTTCATTACCAAAGGGTAACTCCCATGGTAAATCCCCAATTTCATGATCAAAAAGTCCATTTTGTTTTTGGATTTTGCCAGGTTTTTTATTATTGTTAATATTAACAATCAACAATCCCCCAAAAAAAAACCTGACAAATCCCATACATTGCATCTAAAACCCTCAGAAATCTCCAGGAAATCTGCCATTGTCCGATGGAAATCACCGGGTGTCCGGACAGGACCGGCAGGTCACATGTGGGCGCCCAGTGGCTGGGAGGACTCCAAGCCGCAGACAGGGGCACCTGGAGAGGCCAAGGGCACTATGGCTGGATATTCCAAGGCTATCCAGCCATAGTAGTTGGATATTTGAAATGGAATGGGATGGAATGGGATGGAATGGTATGGTATGGTATGGTATGTATGGTATGTATGGTATGTATTGTCCGTGTGTCTGTCCGTGTGTCCGTCCGTGTGTCTGTCCGTGTGTCCGTCCGTCCGTCCGTCCGTCCGTCCCATCGTCCGTCCGTCCGTCCGTCCGTCTGTCTGTCTGTCTGTCTGTCTGTGTCTGTCTGTGTGTTTGTCTGTCTGCCTGCCTGCCTGGCTGTCTGTCTGTCTGTATGTACGTACGTATGTATAGATCTGTATAGATCTGTATAGATCTGCATATGTTTGTGTGAGTTGAAAGGTGTTTTTCAGGTAAATGTCTGTATTTTATTTATTTATTTATTCATTTATTTATTTATTTGTTTATTTATTTATTTATCTATTTATATATATATGTAGATATATATATATATATATCATATTATATATATATATATATATGTGCGTGTTATATGTATAATATATATATTATATAATTATAATAGACTTGGTTAAGCAGTTGGAGAACCAACAATATGGCTGAATTATGAGTAAATTTCTTTCAGAAGTCGATCATGATCCTCTAATTTGCTGGCCCAACCAGCCCTATGTTTGGTTTTTAAACACCACGTATTCTTGTTGCGTAAATCTCAGGTGTTCTTGGGTTTGAACGTCAACTTGGTTGGTATTAAGAAATTGCAATTTCTTATTTGAATCCTCATGTCTTCAATGGGAATTCCAGGATCCTAAAATGGAGGTACTGTACCATATAAGGCCATATTTTGTGGGGATATTTCCTTACATAGGCCTTACATAGGCCTTATATATGGTAAGTACCTCCAATTTAGGTTCCTGAAATGGCCATTGATGTCTTGTTGATCAATCGCCCCTGTTTTCCTTGGTAAAACTCCTGTTTTTGGTCGATTCAACAGGGTTGCTCTGAACATCTCAGGTACGTTTGGGGGCATAAATTTGGCATCCCAGGCAACGCAAGTGGCTTATAACCTCTATATATATATATGCAAGTACCTGTATATATATATACATATATATATATAACCTATAGAATACCTTTATATAATACATATTATAACCCATTGTGTATATATATATAACCCATATGGTTATGAACCACTGAAGCGATGAGATTCCTTAAATCGAACAGCTCGGAGTAGCTGGCCTCGCCCAATGCACGCTGAAACACCTGATCAACCGAATCCATCCATCGCTTGAGCCTGGAGGAACAGGAGGAATGCATCAAGCAGGGAAAAGTATGGATTTAACGAACTGGTATGTAAAAAACATACAAATAGCTGGTTGGTGGTTTGAACCTACCCCTCTGAAAAATGATGGAGTGAAAGTCAGTTGGGATGATTTTCCATTCCCAACTGAATGGAAAAACAAAAGTCATGTTCCAAACCACCAACCAGCGAATAGTAATGGGAAATCCTCAGATAAAAAGGTAGGAATTATGAAATGATTATGTTGGTTGACTTCACAAACACATTCGGCCAGTTGGAGGAAATTGAATAATCAGAACGGGGGATTTGATTTGATTAAGAATGGTAGAAAAATACCTAGTAGTGTAGAAATTGAGTTTCGATGGAAAGTAGGAGTTTAACTAATACTAATAATAATACCGCAGATTTTCAACCATCTAAACTGGGAATTGAAATGGATGTAAGCACCAAACATGTAAATGGTGGAATCCCATATTACAAAAATCGGGGTGTGCATTAGGGAGTGTTGTGTCAGGTGTTCAAACATGAATTTGCTCTGCCGGACCTCTAAGCACTACAAAGAGGTAGGTCAAAAACCATAAATGCACTACAAAATGTATCATCAGTTCCTTACTAAAGTAGTTCCTTACTACAAAACGGAAGGGCCTTAGCAGGATCATGAAGATCTCACATGAAGATCTTACAAGTCCACCATGGTTGAGGCAGTATCCATGCACATCCCGAGGGTTTGAACCGACATTTGGAGGCTACAGTAAACTCAACATGATCACCACACAATGCACAGCCCGCTCATGATAGGACTCCGACAACCCTCTTGCTAAAAAACAAGGTTCCAACACCACAATCAATTCCTTACAAAATACAGCTTGGAGACGGGTTTGTAGTGGACCTAAGTCCTACGATTATGAAGTGGAAATTGGAACGGCAATATATTTATGTATGTATTAATTATCTATATATATATATACATATATGTATACTATATATACAGTTAATTATGTATATATATATATCATTTACATATATTATACACACAATGTGCTTTTCAGGGCAAAGACCTCATGGTGGGAAGTCGCCCGTTTCTTGCCAAACCGATGTAATAAATGTCTGTGTACCCATTGTTTTCAATGTCTGTACGTGTATATCTAGATATATATATATACATATTATAATATATATATATATTAATACATATTATAATATGTATATATATACATTATTATATATATATGTATACATATTATAATATATACATATATCACAAGAGATAAATGAGATCTAAGCTAGGTGACCGTTAAAACTTAGAGAACACAGATACCCTCTGCGAACAGCGAAGGGGATTTACCAACGAAATTGGACTTAAATAGCAAACAAACAATTAAACACAAGGAAAATGATTCAACAAAATTGAATCTACCTTCTTTGGTAATCAAAACTGGCAATGGAAAACACCTTTCTATACTCTTAAGTTTAGCGGATTGCCACGTTTGATCCTCGCAGTCCGACATCCAACATGCAGATTTCTCTGGGCTTAAACTTGGGAAGCAGAGAAGGTTTTTCTTCTCGAACCATTCCATTTTATATCACAACTATTTGATGACATTGCTCTTAACTCACATCCCTGACACCTTGGTTTTCACTAAAAATAGCGATTATATCAGAATGATCGCCTTTGTGGTGCATCACTCCACATGTTATCACATCTTTTGGCCCTGCCAATATGCAAACATGGAGGGTTCAGCCAACAAAATATTTCAGTGGCCATCCACCAAAAGAGCTACCCCTCGATTAATCCATGTGAAAGGAGACCAAAAATTGGTTTTCCTTGGATCTTTGGCCATATGGGGGTTTCCTAAAATGGAGGTACTTCCGAGATCATCCATTTTAGATTGGGATGTTCCATGAAATAAACTAATTATAAACCATCCCTTTTTTCAACATTTTTGGATACCCGCATTTTATAGGAAACCCCCATATGAAACCCATTCACCCAAAAAGTCATCGGTCGGGGAAGGTCAAGAAACTCGCTCTGACGGCCAGAAGCATCATAAAGATTCCTGGGGAGTCTTTCTCGCTTTGCCAAGATGAATCCAAAGCAAAGAGGGAACCATAGAGTGTGTGTATATATATATTATGTTCAAACATTAGCCCATGGTTTTAACAAGAAAAACTGTATGATATATGTATATATATATATATCCGGCTAAAATAGTGATGAACTACTTTTCTATCTTTTGCATGCTTATATATATATATATATACGTATAATAATACAAAATATATATATATATCATATGGCATGCACGTCTTATATACATACATGTGCAGCAACTAGAAGAAAAAAACAGCCTGATGTAGAGCATAGAACCAGGCACTCCCAAAAAAAAGCAAAACTTGGAACTGGAGGATGAATGCTGTGGGGTGAATATAAAATATGTCTAAATATGTGAATGTAAAATAATGTAAATATCATGTTAGGGATTTTGAAGAATCCCGAAATATGCACATCCAAAAAATTCCCTTCGGATGTGGACTTTATGGACTTTCAAATCCTGGAGATTTTTTTAGCATTGCGAATCACGTGATCATTTTTCATCTGATGGATAGTGATTCCAAAGGTCGCAATCCTTGAAGCTTTTGGAGAAATGTCTCTGGAAAAACAGTTGGATGATACAATGGGACACCCCTTGGGGATATCGCCATCAGGCCATTGATCTGAACTTGAATCATCATTCGTGAAGCCAGAAATAGCAAATGACGATAATGGATCGCAGCTTAGATTGGCAGGATGCATTGACTGTAGTGTCGCGGGATTGCTGTGCCCAGCAGCAATCCCAACTCAAGCTCCATGCCGTAACTGTTCAAATAGCTGGCGAGTGACAATGGCGAGCCACTTTGTTTCCATATATCCCCACGTGGGTGTACGGTGTACATACCAGTTTTATTTTTGAATATCAGGATGTCTGATGATTCTTGCTAACACTACATATGCAACATATTTGATGTTGAAAGGCCCGCTTTCTTGGTCCATATGCGCACGTACTTTGTTTAAACATTTAAATAGTTAAAACCCCTCCCTGTCTCTTAGCCAAATCGTTTGTAAAGGGTGGATATGGCCGCCAAATGGGGTATCTGTGGAACTACAAGAGTGGGTCATCTGTAGATTTCAAGCATCACAAAATACTGGATTATATTGAATTCCTATGAATTATTATATGAGATTTAATGGGAATTTAATGGGATAAATGAGCTCCTCCCACAAATTCATTGACCATCCCTTGATTTGTGACACCATTTGACACCCTCCAAACATGCAAATCATTGAACCTTAAAACCAAATCCCATTTTGGAGACCATTTTTTTGATGATTTTGCCAGATTTTACCACTGCCTAATGCCTGATAGTCGCATTTCTTCAGCACAAACCTGTCAGTCGAGCCGAAAATTCCTCGGCCTCCCCACTGTCCCGCCGCCAGAGACGATCGATGGGAGGCAGACGAGGGGACCACGGGCCACCCCAGCGTGTTGCCTCATGGCAGAGATCCTATACCAACGCCATGCCATGGCTGGTAAACCCATATAAGCCATGGAAATCCCAGGTTCCCAGCCTCCTGGAGGTGTTTTTTTTGGTGGGAAAATCATCAAACCTTGACTGAATGAACTGCTGGCTGCTGGCTTCCAGCCAGCTGTTTGATTCGCGGCATCAAAAAACAGGATTGGATTCACCATACAAATCCAAAAAATAGGGACAGAAATGTCAGATTCCTCCGCAGAAGTTTGGAGATTTCATGGGAGTTCACTAGCTGAAATGTGGGCCAAATGTGGGATCTAACGATTGGATACAGCGGATTTGAGTCTCTGGCATTCACGATGACATGGAAAAACCATGAACGATATGCAACAAACATGGAAAAACCATAAAGAAAGTGAAAGATACCAGCGAGCAATCGAATTTGTGTTGGGATTCAAGTAACTGGTGATATCATTCCAATACCGAGAATATATTTGTTTGAATGGGTTATGAACCGTGGCAGGTGCGAAACAAGCATAAACATTGATGAAATTGGGCTTAAGTATGGGGATACAACCAAACGACGATGGCTAAATAATTGACATTGATATCGATAGTTAGATTAGCCTCAACAAAATGGGCTGGAACGACCCGGTCGGACAATCATGAGCAGATCCAGGTTTTGGCCCGAGATTTCCCATCAAAATCCGAAAAAACATCACCGGGCTATGGAAAATGGCCCATTTATACATGGTTTACCTGGGTTTACCTATGAAAAATGGTGATTTTCCATGGCCCATAAATAACCATCCGGTTTTGACCCTTCCGGGCTCCCATGACGGCCTCGGGCGAGCAGAGCCAGGGTTGCCATCTGACGGGAGAGTTGGACTTCAGTTTCACCTTCTTCTTGCAGTTCCTGGCACAGATTGGCTTCCATGGGCTTCCGAAGTCATCGGGCCTATTTTTGGACCAAATCATCCAGTCATGGACCATGACTTAGTATTGAAAAATATTGAAGAGCCCTGGTGAATTGGGGATCGCCCATGACTTGAGAAAACCCATTATATATCTCTATCTCCACGTGTGAACTAACAGATTTTTCCATTATCCCTTGCGGTTCCCCTTGTTTCAGCCCTCCGGAGGCTTCCCCATGTGATCACGTACTTGGTGTTTGCTGGAATGTGATCCGACACTTTTTTGTGGAATGTAATCTATGATCCACTCCATAATCTATAATCTGATCTATAATCTACAAACTATAGTCCATAGTCCATACTCTATAATCTCTAACGCCTAGAAACTATTGCCTATAATCTACAATCCATACTCTACAATCCTAAATCTAATCTACAGTCTAATCTACCCTCTGGTTATTTAACATAGCCATGGTATAGATGGCCCATTTATAGATGGTTTACCTGGGTTTACCTATGAAAAATGGTGATTTTCCATGGCAAACTGTTAGTCATAACCAGATGGTAAACCATTCGGCGTTCCTCAAGTTGAGTTAAATCAGCGGGGGACATGGATGCCTTCTGAAGGTCTGATCGACTAGATGACCGGCTAATTTTGTCGGTTGATCGACTAGATACCTTAAAGACCTTAGAAAAATATGCACATAGACTGGGAAAAGAGTGGACAAGATAAGAAAAAGGAAAGATAGATAGATTAGGTTGGATTGGATTAGGTTAGGTTAGATTAGATTGGAAAAGATTAGATTAGCCTAGCTTAGATGAGATTTGATGAGATTAGCTCAAATTAGATGAGATGAGTTTCGATTATGTATAGATCATTGATTAGATTATAGATCAGATTGTAGGTTAGATTGCAGATTCGATTGTAGAGTGGGTTGTAGACTAGATTCTAGATAAGATTCTGGATTGGATTGGATAAAATAAGATTGTATGGGATTAGATTAGATAGGATTGGATTGGACTGGATTAGATTATATAGATTAGTTAGACTAGATTGGAATTGGATAGACAAAAAACGGACATGTAGATAAACTAAACGAACTATTTTAGAATAAGAAAATAAACAAAGTAGATTGACTCTAATTCTTAATTAAGTTTGGTTAGTCTGTGTCAGATTTGGTTTGATTTGGCTAGATTATGTAATACTAATCAGACTAAGTGAAGTTGGTGTCTATCCCAGAAGTCCACTAATGCCTGCCCCCCCCCATGGGCCAGATTTAGATTGTCTCAGACCAGGTTAAGTGTGACAGAAGATTAAATCAGGCAAAATAGAAATGGGGATGGGTCAAAACCCTGGTACCTAGTGAACCCCAAGTCATAGCTGGTAAATGGATGTTCATCCCACTAAAAATGGTATTTTCATAGGTATTGATCCATAGCCAAATTAAAAATTGCCCTCTGGTAATCAAACATGGCTAGCTGAGGAAAACCCCTATACATCAAGGTTTATTGCTGAAAGTCAACTAGACTATACTTGGTGGATTGTCCATTGCGATGTTTGATTGCCAGAGGATAGTATAGCTACATAGATGAAGGTTTCCTAAAATGGGGGTACCCCTAAATCATCTGATTCCATAGGATGTTCAATCATAAACCATCTATTTTGGGGTACCCTGATTTTAGGAAACCTCCAGATGGATACTAGGAAGGATGATATGTTCCTTGTTCACGACAAAAAAAATGTCTCCCACCCATGCACATTCCATCAGAGCCTTGCCCCAGCGCGCCAACTTCAAGTGGAACAACCGCGTGAGAAGATGCCCCAGGGAAACCGTCACATCCACACCGTTCAGACCTCATTGCCATGCTGAAATGGGTTTGTTTTGTCAAGAAATGTATATTTTCATATATGTTCCCTCACTTCTGGCAATGCTTTAAATGCGGAAAATGGTGCGCAGAAACCCAAATGGATCCCTCATAAACCGGGGTATCTAGGCGTTTTCGAGATTTTAAGGCCAACAATCCGCCAATAAACCTCTCGGAGAATCACCTCTTGAAAAAATTGAACGCGATATGCATGGAATCCTGAGGATACCCAGCAGGATGCTGCTTCTTCCTCAAGTTTGATCTATTGAATTTTGTGACTTTTGTGTTTTTGAAACCAACAGTCAACAATGTATCAAACATGAAGCCCCGTTCATCTCCGCCACGTTTTGGGTTCTTGGTGTTTTCCGGAGACAAACCTCAAAGCGCTGCCAAGAAACTCAGCGACAGCTGGCCCAGCAAGACCTGGGTTCACCGAAAAGCACCAGTTTTTTCAACGGGGCAGAAAACTACCCTCTGGTAATTTAACATAGCTATGGAAAATCACCATTTATAGTGGATTTTCCCATTGAAAATGGTGATTTTCCATAGTTATGTAACAGTTTACCAGAGGGTGCTGATTTCACGATCTCAGTGTTTGTGCTCCGAAAGCAAGAGTTCAATAGCTTCGGGGCCCAATGTCATCGAGCCATCCCCCACGTTTCATGCCCAAAGCACACCGTCCAAGAAAACGTCCAAAACATATGTGCTTTCAATGGGTAAAACCCAGGCCGTCGTGTTCCACAACAAACGTTTGGGCGCTGCTGTGTAGCTATGGTTGACCTGGCGCCGAGCTTACCAAGCACTAATTGTGGCCCAACGTGCCCGGCACTGAGCATCCAAAAAGCTGTCATTAGGCACGAAGTTTCAAGTCATCACCATTCATGTTCATCAAGTCAATGCCCAGCAACGGCCGGTCACCCATCGGGTCAACAAGTGGGCTAGCTCACATACCTCAACGCCTGAGTAAAATCCTACATGGAGCTGAAATTCGCAGGAAGTGCTCACTGACCTGAAATAAGATCATTTGGCAATGATTTTCTCAATTAATTATCATTCCAGTGACGTCGAAAATACTATGCCATCAAGTCAGTTTCCATGTCAAATGTCTCCACCACCTTGACCTGGATTCTACCCATGCGTTTTCCCGTCATTGCGTGCTGTACCTCTGAGCCTTGCTTCCGTGAACTTGAATTTTGACACTACTGTACTCCTCCGACCATCATCCGTCATCCATCATCATCATCATCATCATCATCATCATCCATCATCCATCATCCATCATCCATCATCGTCATCATCCATCATCATCATCCATCATCCATCATCGTCATCATCCATCATCATCATCATCATCATCATCATCCATCATCCATCATCCATCATCCATCATCGTCATCATCCATCATCATCATCCATCATCGTCATCATCCATCATCTTCATCCATCATCATCATCATCATCATCATCATCATCATCATCATCATCATCATCATCATCATCATCATCATCATCCATCATCATCATCATCATCATCATCATCATCCATCATCCATCATCGTCATCATCCATCATCATCATCCATCATCGTCATCATCCATCATCGTCATCCATCATCATCATCATCATCATCATCATCATCATCATCATCATCCATCATCAGGATTATCCACGACACGCTCAAAATCCTCGCCAACTCAACGGCGAAAAATGCATCGACCTGAGAGGCTTCCATCGTTTCCTGGGGCCATGGCCATGTAGAGAAAGACAAAACCCAGCTGTCGATTCACACCGCTCTCATCATCCTCACGGATGCACATAAAATCCTGAATTGAACGGATGAAAATATCTGGTGTAAAACCAACCGTACGGTGATATGATGTTTTTTTTTAAATGTATATATATATATATATTATATATATAATTGTATGTGTATATATATTATATATATATTCTAAGGTTTCAGCCGTTAAGCCGTTCAGCCCATACGCTCCACTCCAAAGTGGACATCTTTGGTGGAGGATGATGGCAAAATGAAAAGGATGGAACTTGAAACCACCAAAATGTAAGATACACCTGGCCATATAGCCAGTTATAATAGTCAGACCAATCAAAGATTCTGATGGGAAAGACTAACTATGCATGTCTCTTGAGCTGATGTTGTCTTACAAAATTGCTGAAACCCTAAAAACCATTAATAATCAATACATTTCAAATATCTTCATGTCGGATTTTGTGGCTGACTGGCTCGCCATTTCGGCTTGTTCTTCTGGTTGATATATGCCCGTTCTTTGTCCAACTTGAAACGAGTCCATGGGGTCATCATCCAAAGTAGGGATGTACATGAGAAATACCCTCTGGTAAACATACAAAAAGCTATTGAAAATGGCCATTGATAGTTGATTTGCCCATTAAAAATTGTGATTTTCCATAGTTTTTTGTATGTTTACCAGAGGGTAGATACAAATAGTTGATTCTCAGGCACTTGATGGACACTTCCTGGACATGCCTGGATTTTGGTGCTGAAAAATGCCCATCATTTGTGGCTCCAAAACGCTACCCCACGTCGTAGCGTTCCGCGTTCCTCCGGCCTGCAAAAGTTCATCCGTCCAGATGAGCTTCACCAGGGCTTCTCCCTCTACCTCTGCCATCATTGCCATTGCCATAGATCATCATGATCCCATCGCTGGATGATTTATGATGGAAAATCACAGCTGGATGATCTCGGAAGTACCTATCATATGGGATTTTCCATCATCAATCATCCATATAGATGATCAAATCCTGATAGCTATATGATTCATGATCCATATGGGATCACTGAACAACCTGATTTTGGATTATCATCCATTATGGATTTGTGGAAAATAGCTACCCGGTACCTGGTTATGACATTCACAGTTCGCCATGGTTTTTCGATGGCCCTAATCGAAATAGATGGTGAACAACTGGGTTTACCGTTCTTTTTTTTGCATGGTGGATCTTTCCATGGCGAACTGTGAATGTCATACCCAGATGGTAATACCATATATTAAGTACCATTAAATATCATTAATTCTCATATAATATGGTTACCCTCTAGTAAACTAACAGTGGCTGGTTTTACATGTTTTTTTTCTATAGATAGCCATGTAGAAGCGTTTTTGGAAACCTCCATCTGAAAATCTCTCAGAAATCGCCCTGTTGGACGCGAAACCTGGCCCGAAAAATTCAGAAATTCGGATGATGCAATTCTCCCATTGACAGCTTGGATGGGGAGAAGGGAGAATGACCAAAACTGCAAGAAACTATGTGTATGTATATATATATATGATATTAATGTATATATACACATACATACATACATACATACATACATACATACATACATACATACATACATACATACATACATACATACATACATACATACATACATACATACATACATACATACATACATACATACATACATACATACATACATACATACATACATACATACATACATACATACATACATACATACATACATACATACATACATACATACATACATACATACATACATACATACATACAATACATATATATATATATATCACAAGTGCTAATTCAATCAAGCTGTTTAGTATGATTTTGGTCATGCGGCTCATGGAGACAATGAGGATGAGGACAATGAGAAGAATGAGGAGAATTAGGAGGAGGACGAGGGAGGACAAGGACGAGTATGTCGGTGATGAGGATGATACTATTAGGATCACCATCTGGTCATTTAACATAGCCATGGAAAATCACCATTTTTAATAGGTAAACCATCTATAAATGGGTCATTTTCCATGGCTATGTTAAATAACCAGAGGGTAACTGCGAAACTGCCATGTTTGTTGGCACAGGAGCACAGTCACAGCACCTTTTTAATAGCTGGATTGCATAAAGCCAGGGCTGAATTCTTCCGGGCTTTTACCATATCTAAAATCCATCAAAACATATAAAAACCAATGCTTAACCATCGGAAAAAATACGTAACATCACTTCAACCAGAAACATACCAGAAGATCTTAGGTTGGTCTGCCTGCGAGGGCCATTCGGCATGAACTTGGCCTTCAGGTAACTGCGGATGCCTGGTTTGTCGCAACGCATGGAAAAAGGCATTTTTTGACATCAGAAAAATGATGCTTTGAGCAACAGAAATTGGGATATAACCATCAGAAATTCTGATTTAACCATCAACAACTGGGGTTTTATGTGGATTTAACTATCAAAAATGATCAAGAATGTAGTTTTCAATGGTTTTAACCAACAACAAGTGGGATGTTTCCATCAAAAATTATGAGTTAAGCATCAAGAATCATGATTTAACATGATTTAACCAAGAAAAATTGTGATTTAACCAACAAAAAAATGGTATTTGACTCTCCAAAATGGGGATTTAACCAGCAAAAATGGCTCAAAAATCGGGTGCCAATGGACCTTCAAAATGTTGGTCCGCTTCGGTCACCATCAGTAACCGAAACGGTGGTAGCGCTGTGTGCGCTGATGTTGGTTGGTGCTTCTCACTGTTTCGTGGGACACTCCCCAATGTTTGTGGAGTGTTGGGGAAAATCCCCCATGGCTAGCCGCTTTTTGAGTACCCAAGAAGTTCCGAGAAAATGGGGCAACAAAACCCATGAACCAAACATGTGAATCAACCATGTGAACCAGGCGCCAAGATTTTCTCAGTGCCTGCATCAATTTGGTCTTTGAAAATGCCCATTCAACACCCATTGAGCCAATTTCAGGGCATAGGAACCCACGGAAAGATTACCATCTGGTTATGACTAACATAGCCATGGAAAATCACCATTTTTAGTAGGTAAACCATCTATTTCAATGGGCCATCTATACCATGGCTATGTTAAATAACCAGAGGGTATATGAAACAGCTCCAGGATGTCAATGTTTCCAGGTTTCCAATTTGAAGCATGTTTTCTTCCAGTGACTTTGATGGCCAGAGTCCCTATATATTCCCCATGACTTCCCATCAACATCATCAACGGATTTTCCAACTCAAAAAAACAATCCCATCAACTAACATAGACCCTGCCAACTAGGGAGTTGGAAGATTACTTTGTGCCAAAAAAAATGGCTATTTTCAGGGTCAAACTGTTGATTTACTGAAGGGTAGATCTGGTATAAGTCTGACAGCTCTGATTCTGAATAGATATTGGTTTAATAGAATATGGGTACCCCAAATCATCCAATTTTAGACAATTTTAGTATTTGAAACCCGTGGTGACATTGGGATCACCCATTTTCGGAATATATGAATTGGTATGGGTGAAAAATCAGCGCCCTAGAGAAAGGAGTCTTCTCCACAAACATCACTGGTTGAGGTGTGTTAGCTAGCATCTAACATCCATTTAGCCACCAAAACGTGACGTTCCATCCCAAAAAAAACGGCCATCAGGACATAAGAACCCATTGTTGCAATATCACCAGATCGAAAGATATCGATGGAAGAAGGAACAACTAAATATCATATACATCTTGTCATCATATACAGTACCGTAAACATCAAGTAGATCCATCCTACATGATATCACATACATCTACACATGCTGGACTGGATCTATCATATCTATTGAAAATCATATCTATGTATACGCATCATATCTATATATATATGTGTATATATGTATATATCTATATATATCTGGGTAAATTATAATAATTCACCAACCTGAATCTTGCGGCCATAAAAGGGAATGATTTCCCATATAAAAACCATGATAACCCAGGCTTCGGGAGAACAGGGTTCGGTCGTGATGAAATTTACCCAGATATAATATATATATATATATGTAGATATATAATATGTATAATATATATGTGTATCATATATCGTAGCACTGGATCTCAACGGATCCCAAGTCATCCAGGCTCCGCTCCGCTCCTGAACTGTAGTCGTCGCAGCTGTGTGGCGCGCGCCAGCGCGTCGCGGGGCAGCAGGTTCAAGCGACTCCAGGGCTGACCTGACTGTTCCGAATGGTTATAAAGGGTTATTAATGATACAATGTGAGGCCCCCAAGATAGCTAAGTCGGTTTATAACTCCAATAACTATGGTTTATGGTATTTACAACTATAGTTACTGGGGCTTATAAACCAACTTATAACTGGTGGGCCTCACATTGTAGGTTATAAATTTCATTAATGAATAATGGCTATTAATAACCATAGTGATATTAAATAACAAATTATAATATAAATGATAAATAGTCGGGTTATTAAGCCACAATTATAAATTATAGGTCATTAACCTTCACCAAGCATATCGGAATTTCCATTAATGTTGGTAAAACAATAGTATAATATAGTATAATAATAAACCATCCCCAATTTCACCATGTTTAATCATTTTTATAGGTGGTATAAACCATTCCCAAACGGGTGGTTTATGGCATTGGTTTAAGCACATTACTAGAAATCTGATCGGTGGACCCAGAAAAAAAAAAACATATCTCTAATATCACCAAACACTGGTGGTATAAACCCCCCAAAATTGAAGGTTTCAGAAAAAAGGGTTACCACATTCATATGGATTCATCATCCAAACTCCATCATCCACCATCGATCATCAAAAATATGGATTAATCATGATTAATCATGTTTTTCATCCCATCCCCTATGAATTAAATCAACAAGATCTTCCCAGAAATGGAAGGGAAACACGGCTGAGAAATCCAACGATTTCTGGGGGTTTTTAAGGACATCATGCAGCTGATTGGAGGGTAAATCCAGTCAAATAACCTATGATTTTCATGTAGAAAATCATGATAAAATGAGGATTAATTGCAAAAACCAATTGGTTTTAGTAGCTCCAGTCTGTAGCTCACAACTTCTCATAAATGTTCCGAAATCTTCTACAAAATAATTTATCCTAATATAAACACAAACACCAAACATCGCCGAACAGAACGAACTTTCTTGGGAATCATGAAAATCATTAAGAAGTTGACTGGAGATAATATGGATTCATTAAATATGAAGATGTGTAACCAGAATAAGGGATTCTTGATATTGATGAATGAATGCTCCACACAGTAGCCTCATGTTTATGTTTATGCTTACGCCCCGAAAACCGTACGAGTAAAACGCAAGTTTTGAATTGCAACACACGGATAATGTTACATTAATTAATGATGTTACTTTGATGATGGGGGTGGGGGGTGGGGAAATGTTAGCGTTCCATGATGTTACGTTGATGATGGGTGTGTGGGGGGGTGGGGAACTGCTAGCGTTCCACGTAACACGTGGATGATGTTACGTTGATGATGGGGTGTGGGGGGGTGGCGGGGAGCTGTTAACGTTCCATGTTCGGGGAGCTGTTAACGTTCCTGTGCCCAGTTGAACCACATACCGAAATTCAATGGAGAAGAAAAGAGGTCGAGCGGCTCGCTGCTCTTGATGTCATTCAAAACGACCCAAATTGCAACAACATGCGCACGGTACCACAACGACAGACCCCCCACAAAAAAAAAAAACGAACCTAATCATTGCTGAAATCCACAAATATTGAGAAATTTTGGTTGAGAAACTTCCACGCAGGCTGTGTTTTCCTTTTGAGGAAAAAAAAAAGTTGCTACTGAAATGAACAAAAAGGCCAAAATTTGAGGTCTTGAATTTGAACTTGTGTTCCTTCCAAAATTGTCTCAAAACGCACGTGAAACGCCGATTTGTCTCAAAACACAACCTACATTCAAAGCAATTTTGGCACATTTTGACATTGGACGTTCCACGCTTGCCACACGAAATGTACGGCCATTGAGACAGCCAAGTTGAAAAACGTGCAAAACGTACGTACGGAAAACGGGCTGAGGGGATGTTTATGTTGCCATCAATAAGATGAACAAAAATATAATTTATACCCTCTGGTAATTTAACATAGCTATTGAAAATGGCCCAGTCGAAATAGTGAATTTTCCCATTGAAACTGGTGGATCTTTCCATAGTTACGTTATAGTTTACCAGAGGGTAAATCCCTGTTCATCCTCTTTCGAACCAGATATTCTGAATCAAGGGATCAAGCCCGGCAATGGGGGGGGCGCTGCTGCATGTTATTTTAGGGGATATTTAGGGGGATTAGCCTCTGGTAAATTAACAGTTGGACCCTGGCAGTCATCGGGGTTCAAAAAATTAGTGTCCATTAAAACTAGGCTATCACTTCAGGGTCTACCCTCTGGTAATTTAACAGTTTGCTATTGAAAATGACCATAGAAATAGTGGATTTTTCCCATTAAAACAATGGTGATTTTCCAGTTCGCTATGTTAATTTACCAGAAGGTATCCCTGAGAGATTTCACCACCAGGAGCCCCAAAAGAGACTGATCAGGATCTGGGGAAACAATTGCCGTCGCAATAAGGGGAGTCCCAAGAAAGGGACGCAGTGGCCATGCTTTTCATGCTGCAATCCCCGATCATACGGATTATATACGGTGTGTATATATATATATATACATCATATATATATATACATATATACATATATACATATATACATATATACATATATACATATATACATATATATATATATACATATATATGTATATATATAGTTAAGGACATACACTTAGAACACAAAGTGTTTTCCAAAAAAAAAACATACACTTAGAACACCGTTTTGCTGCCGGAGAAATTCACCCCAACTGTTCTAAGTGAAGGCTTAGAACATGTTCTAAGTGAGCCACTTAGAACATCATCAGAAACGTGTTAGAACACATCTTATTTTTCTAACATGTGTTCTAAGTGTAGGTCCGTGCATGTAAAGTAGTCATACAATACAATTTGTAAGGCATATATACAATATTGTATTAAAATGCAATATAGAATAAAATAAAATAGGGTAATATATATTTATATATTATAATAATAATAATATAATATAATATGATATAATATAACATAATATAATATAATATAATTCTACCCCGAAACGCCATATAACTATAACAATATGTTTCAATTGTCTTTGACATGTTATTCAGAAGACATGACATTTAATTAGGCACTACTTTCATTAGGCACTAAAAAGCCGCCAAGATCACGACCCCCTGCCTGAAAGGTTTGGTTCTACCTATAACTAGTAGCACAAAAAAGTATCAACCATTCTCACCAATTTGGGTATTGATTTTCTCTTATTGGAAGTGTTCTAAGTGTGTGATCCGCCACCTAAGGAAGCCCCACCAAGGAGGCAACCACCATCACCCAGAAATGTGTTTAGGATTCCTTTTAGATTGATAATTACTTGTGGCATGGGTTTATTTGTTGTTGGCCACTCGAAGGACGGAGAGCATGTGTATCAAACAGTGCTACCAACTTGAATATTGTTGTTTTTCCCTTTTTGCAAGTGTTCTAAGTGCGTGGTTCGCCACCTAGGGAGGCCACCAACATCACCCAGAAATGTGTTTTTTTGGTTCCTTTAAAAACAAATACTTTTGAGATGGGGTTAGTTGCTGTTGACCACTGGAGGGATGAAGAACAGGTGTGTCAAACATCCTGACCAGTCACCAACCAGAGTATTAAATGTCTGTTTTTGGAAGTGTTCTAAGTGTGTGGTTCGCCACCTAGGGAGGCCACCACCATCACCTAGAAATGTGTTAAAGCGTCCTTTTTAAATCTATAATTACTTGTGTCATACAGGTTTATTTGTTGTTGGCCACTCGACTGACGGAGAGCATGCGTATCAAACACTGTCACCAACTTGAGTATTGTGTTCCTTTTCAATTTGTTTCCTTTTTGCAAGTGTTCTAAGTGTGTGGTCCGCCACCTAGGGAAGGCACCAACATCACGCAGAAATGTGTTTAAGTTTCCGTTTAAAATTGATAAGTACTTGTGACATGGGTTTATTTGTTGTTGGCCACTCGAAGGACGGAGAGCATGTGTATCAAACACTGTCACCAACTTGAGTATTGTGTTCCTTTTCAATTTGTTTCCTTTTTGCAAGTGTTCTAAGTGTGTGGTCCGCCACCTACGGAAGGCACCACCATCACCCAGAAATGTGTTAAAGTTTCCTTTGAAAATTGATAAGTACTTGTGACATGGGTTTAATTGTTGTTGGCCACTCGAAGGGCGGAGAGCATGTGTATCAAACAGTGCTACCAACTTGAATATTGTTGGTTTTCCCTTTTTGCAAGTGTTCTAAGTGCGTGGTTCGCCACCTAGGGAGGCCACCAACATCACCCAGAAATGTGTTTTTTTGGTTCCTTTAAAAACAAGTACTTTTGAGATGGGGTTAGTTGCTGTTGACCACTGGAGGGATGAAGAACAGGTGTGTCAAACATCCTGACCAGTCACCAACCAGAGTATTAAATGTCTGTTTTTGAAAGTGTTCTAAGTGTGTGGTTCGCCACCTAGGGAGGCCACCACCATCACCTAGAAATGTGTTAAAGCGTCCTTTTTAAATCTATAATTGCTTGTGTCATACAGGTTTATTTGTTGTTGGCCACTCGACTGACGGAGAGCATGCGTATCAAACACTGCCACCAACTTGAGTATAAATTTCCCTTTTTCCAAGTGTTCTAAGTGTGTGGTTCGCCACCTAGGGAGGCCACCACCATCACCTAGAAATCTGTTAAAGCGTCCTTTTAAAATCTATAATTACTTGTGTCATACAAGTTTATTTGCTGTTGGCCACTCGACTGACGGAGAGCATGTGTATCAAACACTGTCACCAACTTGAGTATAAATTTCCCTTTTTCCAAGTGTTCTAAGTGTGTGGTTCGCCACCTAGGGAGGCCACTACCATCACCCAGAAATGTTTTGTTTTTTTTTGTTTTGTTTTAAAATTAATGATTACTTGTGGCATGGGTTCTTATTTGTTGTTGGCCACTCGAAGGACGAAGACCATGTGTAACAAACACTGTCACCAACTTGAGTATTGCATTTTTCCTTTTTTGATGTGTTTTAAGTGTTTGTTTCGCCACTTAGTGGGGAGGCCACCAACATCACCCAGACATGTGCTTTAAGATGCATTAAGTGCCCTTTTAAGATAGATAATTACTTGTGACATGGGTTTATTTGTTGTTGGCCACTCGAAGGACGGGGAGAATGTGTATCAAACACTGTCGCCAACTTGAGTATTGTTTTTTCCCCTTTTTGGAAGTGTTCTAAGTGTGTAGTTCGCCACCTAGGGAGGCCACCAATATCACACAGACATGCTTTAAGTTTCCCTTTGAAATAGTTTCTTTTGAGATTTGCTTAGTTGTTGTTGGCCACTCGAAGGACGGAGAGCATGTGCATCAGTGTTACCAACTTGAGTATTGTATTTTTTTCCTTTTTGCAAGTGTTCTAAGTGCGTGGTTCGCCACCTAGGGAGGCCACCAACATCACCCAGTGCTTATATAAGTCTTCTTTTAAAAAACATACTTGTGAGATGTGGCTAGTTGTTGTTTACTACTCGAGGGATGAAGAAACGGTGTGTCAAACATTCTGATCGGTCACCAACGAGAGTATTGATTTTCTCCTTCTGGAAGTGTTCTAAGTGATTGGTTCGCCACCTAGAAAGGCCACCAACATCACCCAGACATGTGCTTCAAGATGCATTAAGTGTACTTTTAAGATAGATAATTACTTGTGACATGGGTTTATTTGTTGTTGGCCACTCGAAGGAAGGAGAGCATGTGTATCAAACACTGTCACCAACTTGAGTATTGTGTTCCTTTCAATTTGTTTCCTTTTTTTCAAGTGTTCTAAGTGTGTGGTCCGCCACCTAGGAAAGGCACCACCATCACCCAGAAATGTGTTTAAGTTTCCTTTGAAAATTGATAAGTACTTGTGACATGGGTTTATTTGTTGTTGGCCACTCGAAGGGCGGAGAGCATGTGTATCAAACAGTGCTACCAACTTGAATATTGTTGTTTTTCTCTTTTTGCAAGTGTTCTAAGTGCGTGGCTCGCCACCTAGGGAGGCCACCAACATCACCCAGAAATGTGTTTTTTTTTGTGGTTCCTTTAAAAACAAATACTTTTGAGATGGGGTTAGTTGCTGTTGACCACTGGAGGGATGAAGAACAGGTGTGTCACACATCCTGACCAGTCACCAACCAGAGTATTAAATGTCTGTTTTTGGAAGTGTTCTAAGTGTGTGGTTCGCCACCTAGGGAGGCCACCACCATCACCTAGAAATGTGTTAAAGCGTCCTTTTTAAATCTATAATTACTTGTGTCATACAGGTTTATTTGTTGTTGGCCACTCAACTGACGGAGAGCATGCGTATCAAACACTGTCACCAACTTGAGTATAAATTTCCCTTTTTCCAAGTGTTCTAAGTGTGTGGTTCGCCACCTAGGGAGGCCACTACCATCACCCAGAAATGTTTTTGTTTTTTAGTTTCGTTTTAAAATTAATGATTACTTGTGGCATGGGTTTTTATTTGTTGTTGGCCACTCGAAGGACGGAGGCCATCTATCAAACACTGTCACCAACTTGAGTATTGCATTTTTCCTTTTTTGATGTGTTTTAAGTGTTTGTTTCGCCACTTAGTGGGGAGGCCACCAACATCACCCAGACATGTGCTTTAAGATGCATTAAGTGCCCTTTTAAGATAGATAATTACTTGTGACATGGGTTTATTTGTTGTTGGCCACTCGAAGGACGGGGAGAATGTGTATCAAACACTGTCGCCAACTTGAGTATTGTTTTTTCCCCTTTTTGGAAGTGTTCTAAGTGTGTAGTTCGCCACCTAGGGAGGCCACCAATATCACACAGACATGCTTTAAGTTTCCCTTTAAAATAGTTTCTTTTGAGATTTGCTTAGTTGTTGTTGGCCACTCGAAGGACGGAGAGCATGGGTATCAAACAGTGTTACCAACTTGAGTATTGTATTTGTTTCCCTTTTTGCAAGTGTTCTAAGTGCGTGGTTGGCCACCTAGGGAGGCAACCAACATCACCCAGTGCTTATATAAGTCTTCTTTAAAAAAACATACTTGTGAGATGTGGTTAGTTGTTTTTTACTACTCGAGGGATGAAGAAACGGTGTGTCAAACATTCTGATCGGTCACCAACGAGAGTATTGATTTTCTCCTTCTGGAAGTGTTCTAAGTGATTGGTTCGCCACCTAGAAAGGCCACCAACATCACCCAGACATGTGCTTCAAGATGCATTAAGTGTACTTTTAAGATAGATAATTACTTGTGACATGGGTGTTTATTTGTTGGCCACTCGAAGGAAGGAGAGCATGTGTATCAAACACTGTCACGAACTTGAGTACAATGTTCCCTTATTACAAGTGTTCTAAGTGTCTGGTTCGCCACCTAGGGAGGCCACCAACATCACCCAGAAATTTGTTTAAGTTCCGTTTTGAAATGGATACTTTTTGAGATTGGTTTAGTTGTTGTTGGCCCCCCGAAGGACGGAGACCATATGTATCAAACACTATCACCAACTTGAGGATTGCATTTGTCCTTCTTTGCAAGTGTTTTAAGTGTTTGTTTCGCCACTTAGTAGGGAGGCCACCAACATCACCCAGAAATGTGTTTAAGTGTCCATGTTAAAAATATAATCAATTACTAGTTACTAGTGACATGTTTTTTTTTGCTGTTGGCCACTCGAAGGACAGAGAGCATGTGTGTGCGAGTCTGTGTCAAACATTATCACCAGTCACCAACTTCATAATAGATTTCACATTTTTGAAGTGTTCTAAGTGTGTGGGTTGCCACCTAGGGAGGCCACCAAGATCACCCAAAAATGTGTTAACTTCCATCTAAACACACATATATATATGTATAGATATACTTTTGAGGTGAATTTAGTTGTTGCTGGCCACCAACGGAGAGTTGGAACGCCCTTTGGTTTGGGGTGCCAGCTGAATTTTCACTCCAATCCCATCTTCCTTTGCTAGTTGCTTTATGTGGATCTGCAAAGGTACTCCGGTATACATACATACATATATATATACACAGCTGGGGAATGTGGGTATACCATCCCCAAAAAGATGCTTCCAATTGGATAATATTGGGTATAACTCTATTTGAGATGATGTAAAATGACCTCCACATGTGGCCCAAATGATTATTTAATGGGATGGTTTATTTTTGGGATTATCATATTGATTATCTATGTATCCATTGACTCCCTGCCGAAGGTTGTACCAATCCTTTACATAATTGGAATTACGGACATACACTTAGAACACATAAATTACCCCCAAAGTGTTCTAAGTACCTTTTAGAACATGTTCTAAGTGTATACTTAGAACACATTCCGCTGCCGAAATTTCCACCATGCGTTTTCCAAATGGTGTTCTAAGTGTATGTCCTTAACTATATATATATCCTCATCATATGTATATATATATAATACATCGCATCATTTTGGGCGGTTGAACCTCCCATGTGCCAATTTTGAAAAAAGGTCGGCGCCTCCGTGCAAGGCGGCGTCAGCACGCAGAACCACATTGCCTTGATCCCTGGAGCAGCGAAAAAATGGGGATTTACTGGTTTTAATGGTGACTTAATGGTGTTTACTGGTGTTTAATGGTGTTTAATGGTGTTTAATGGTGACTTAATGGTGACTTAATGGTGTTTAATGGTGTTTAATGGTGTTTAATGGTGTTTAATGGTGTTTAATGGTGTTTAATGAGGACTTAAGAATGATTTACTCTCTGGTAAACTATTGAAAATTGCCATTTATAGTTGAATTAGCCAATCAAAATTATGATTTTCCATAGTTATCTTAGTTATCTGGTTAGTTGATCTACCTATATGTTATAGCCACAATTTTGCCTACTCTAACCTAGACTCGTGGCATATACCCCTGTTTAGGGCTTACCTTCGGGTAAATTAACCTATTTCCTGAAAATAGCCCTGGGCTGCCAGGGTCTAAGACTTCGGATTCAACCAGTGAATACTTGGGGAAATCACCATCATTTTTTCATCAGTCCCATCTCATGAAAGACATTCGTTGGTTGATAACGGTTTCCTAATCCTATGGCTTAGTACAGAATCCACAATAATCCAGGTAGTATAATCCAATGTAGTTTTAACAGCTCAAATGGTCCTGAAATTTCGGATTCCAGCATGAAAAACATGGCATTGCAGACCTTGAGCCAAGGTCGACGCCCAAAGCTAAGTCAAGTGGTGCAGTTTCAGCTTGACTAAGTGGCTGGGCCAGAGATTTCAGGTGTTCCTCTTGATGTTGCAACTTCTTTTTGGGGTTAGATGTTACCCTCTGGTAATTGAACGTAGCTATAGAAAATCACCATGTTTCATGGGTAAATCCACTATTTCTATGGTTATTTTCCATAGCTTTTTTGACATAACCAGAGTGTAGAAGTTATACCCATGGCTACACCGAAAAAAAACCAGTTACGTACCCATGATAGCCATCAAACTCCCCGCAAGCACCCGAAAAACACCGCGCACAGTGCAGCACCTGGCTTTGGCTGCGAGGTATTCCAAACGGGCCTGGCACCAGTTGATAGGTGGTTGGGTAAAACCTCTGGAAAACATACAAAAAAACGATGGAAAATCACCATGCTATCAATGGGTAAATCAACGATGAATATTGCCATGTTCAATAGCAAACTGTTTAATTACCAGAGGCTATCTCACTATTCACTATTGAAGTAGGGTGAAACAACTCTTCCAAGGGTGGTTTATCGGATTTCGCAACCATCCACATGTGCGTCATTCCACAAGGGGATGAATGGAGTCATCCATCCAATTCCCTGGGAATCCTTACAAAGGGTTCTTGTTTCACATCCCCCAATATGGGCATACAATACTATCGCACATACGGCTTTGTCAATGAGGATGTCTGGTGTATGGATTGGTGCAAGGGTTTTTGGACGCAAAGGCCGTAAAGCCCATGAGGATCAGCTGCAGAAAAAATAACACGAATTGAGAACATCATCCAAGTGATGTAGGATTGAAAATTGAATATGAATATGTGAAACCACTGACCATTTTATCTTTAGTTAGTTTACATTCGATATGGCAATAAAAGATATCGTCCCGATAGGTCTTCAACCAGGATAGCACCGATAGGTCTTGACATGGATCAACATCCACAGCTAAGTTTACGTGCAAATAACTCGGTGAATTCTATGGTTTATGGTAGATACAACTACCCTCTGGTAAACTAACATAACTATGGAAAATCACATTTTTTTTATGGGAAAATCTACTATAAAAGGCCATTTTCAATAGCTTTTTGTATGTTTACCAGAGGGTATAGTGAATGAGGGTCATAAACCAACTTATATCTAGGGCAATCTGACGGGGGGCCCACCTTGCACCAAAGGAAACCATGGAAAACACTCGATGTGGATCCACGGCCATGTCCACAGTGATGAAAAGCGACAAAAAATCTTTGAAACATATCTCATCATATCTTGGTTGATAGGTATATACATACATAGGTGAAATATGTATATGAGTACATATATATATATGTATATATATATTGTATTATGTATATATATAAATAATATATATAATATATATATATGTAATTATATATATGTAGATCTATCGATATATATATATACATAGAGAGAGAGAGGGAACCTTTACAGACAAAACTCCATCATATCCCACACATCGACATGTCGCTGGAGACTTGCCATGGAATGGCAGCCAGTGGCCATGGAATGAGTACCCAAAAAACAAAGTAGCCGGTAGCATTGGCTGCCTGGCTCTACCAGATTTTGTGTGTATAAATATATATATATATACTGTTTCAAAATAAGCCATGGTTGCTGCTAGTTTTTTCAGTGTTCCTGCTCAAGTCCCTGTTCTTGCAGCTTTTCATATGCCACCAAGCCAAGATTTCACCTGTCAGATTTTGAAATCCGTATTGTTGCCAATCAGGGTCAAGGTGAAAGAGGGCCATCGCGCAGCTTCGAGGGTAAACCGGCGTGTTTCCAATGGGAAGGAGGTATCATTGTAGGCACCATTGGATCAGCATGATTCGCAAACCTGAAAGGTTCGGCGAATTGTCCAGTTGCCCCCAATCCAAAAACATTCCAGAAATAGGTTTCCTAAGTGATGGGAGTACCCTCTGGTAAACTAACACAACTATGGAAAATCACCATTTTTGATTGGAAAACTCACTATAAATGGCCATTTTCAATAGCTTTTTGTATGTTTACCAGAGGGTACCCCCTCGCATCCAGCCATGGTCGACCATGACTTTGTACTGAACCCCTATTGACTTGGTCCTCGCCAGGTGCCAACGATGCCATCAAATAGGGCTGGGAAATCTCCCAGCCAGAGGAAATATGGCAACTTATCAAAGTAAGTAAGATTGCTTATATTTAAATGTTGATAAAATATGGCTTACTGAAATAGATATTTCTAGTAGTTACTAGTTATATGCTTCGGGATAAATGCTGGATTTGCCAGCCATGCGACGAAAAAAACATCCCTCTGGGTATGACTCAGGGCGTCTGTGACACTTGGGGCGTCACTGGGAAATTCCTCCAGAATTCATGTTGCGAAAATCCCACATTTCATGGCCAAAGCTTTGTTTTTGAATGGGATAAATCATGCGCAAGGATATCCACAACAAATGTTGGATAAATCATTTGAGTATCTGCATTTTTTGAGTATCCAAACATTTCTTGTTGGTCAAATCCCAATATGCCAAGTATGTATGGGTGAAATCATGATGAATCATCCTTGGTTTTTTGTTGCTTCAGTCACGTGAAATCTGTCTTCTTTTTCCGGTTCAGTCATCTTACAAGCACCTTTCTTGGTTTGAGACATGTGAGCAGTGTTCAAAATCCGACATGTCGTCCCTTTGTGCTAGTTGGTTTTTAGAAAGGATTTACCGTCTGGTTATGACTAACATAGCCATGGAAAATCACCATGCTATTAGTAGGTAAACCATCTATTTCTATGGACCATCTATACCATGGCTATGTTAGTCATAACCAGAGGGTATTTCCCGGTGAAACTGGAATCATCCCAATCTTGGACCCTGGATGATGCTTCAAAACGCCCATCATAAAGCCCTCGAAACGTGATGGCTACATCAGTCATACCTCCATGAAAAATTCAAGAATATACAACTGTAAAGTGTAATCATCAAATATCATCAAATATCATCAAGTATCATCAAATATCATCGAATATCATTCAAATACCATTCAAATATCATTTAAATATCATTCAAATACCATTCAATGACCATTCAATTTACTTTCTGGTAAACCAACAGTTTGCGAACTGGAAAATCACCATTTTTAATAGGCAAATCACCATGTTTAATGGGAAAATCACAATTTTTGATGGGTAAATCAACTATAAATGGGCCATTCTCGTTCCATCCCCATCAAATTCCACCACGGATGACCTTCACCCGCCGAGTGGAGGACTTGCAGCCGCGGAGCAGCTGGAGCTCCTGCCATATGTTTTTTTAATAATTAGTATCACTATGATCATCATTATTATTATCATTATTATTATCAGTATTAATCACTATTATTAATAATAATTATTACTATTATTATTGTTCTTATTATTCTGTTATATATATAGGTGTGTACAATAGTTGTAGGGGGTGACCATATATATATATATGTGTTGATGTATATTGAGTATATGGAGATTTTTTGGACGTGAAAAATGGTTGCATATAATGGAGACACCATGGAATGTCATGGGATATATATATATAATTATATACATATTTATATCTAACCGACATTTCAATAGCGGATACCGTCCTGTAAACTACTAGGGTGTTATGGGAATGTAATTTTTGTCGGGACATGGCATTCATATATAAAAAAATATGATGTTTGGGTCTGAAAATGTGGTCCCCAACAAACCATTTATGAAAGCCATGGTGATTTAGCATCAAATTTGTGGGGTACCCTAGAAGCCAAACCCCTATACCTGTATATATATATATATATATATATGTTGATGGTATATGTTGATGGGAAAACTATGGGATACCCGGTGAGGACTACCAGGCTATGAAAGCCACGGCCCATTGGCGATAGTTTACTGATGAAAAATGGTGGTTGGGACCCGAAGCTATCTAAAATCGCCATAGGGTACATGAGATATAACATGATATAACCAACAAATATTGATGACTTATTGGGAGAACTCTCAATCTTGATTAAAGAAAAACACAACGACCTCACGTTACAACGTCACTGGAATGGTGGTGAGAGGTATCCCAAAAAGACCTGAAAGCTTCAGGTATGTTGATACCTGGTGTTCACCTCCTAAAAACACACTTCCAAAGTGTGTCATTGTTTATGTAATACTTACAAGTCTTGCAAGTGTCACAGTCCATAACATGATGGAATCTCATTATATCATAGTACTATTACATACTATTATGGTATCCACATAAGTCTTATCACGAATTCCTTCATGTTTCCTTCTACGAAACCTGTCTCCAAGAGCTTTTTTTTTCGCGTCTCCTCCTCCTCATTCAACCAGAGGCCCCGAGACACATGATGCCGCTTGGCCAGGTATTGATCCTGGCTGATTCTGTTGATCCCAGAGCAAAAAGGGCTAAAAGGGCAGAACTGGGGATGGATTGCTTGGTGCCAACGACTAGCAAACTTGGTGGATCGTCCCACTTACGATTCGTAGGTTAGTTCACCCCAGTTACAAGTGGAAATCCACCCGACTTATCCCACGAACATCACCAGGGTGAACTAACCTACTTACGATTCGTGGGATGATCCACCAAGTATATCTTCACTTTGAGGACAGTTTTCACCCATAGAGACTTACAGTTCCCAATTTGAGGAATGCTTCGCGACTTGATGTGGGGCTGTATGGGGCCGATTCAGGAACTTCAGGAATCGGCCATCCCCCAAAATATGGAAGCTGGGGACAGCCATACCAGCTGGGGATGAGAATCAAAACTGCTGCGTTACCACAAGGCACTTATCTGGATACTTGTTGATTTTTCATAAACCTGAAAGGTCGTTTAACGGGTGGTTCCCCAGGGTTTAAATAAACCATCATATGGTTGACGTCGTTGTGAGTGTCGCTCCAATTCATCCAAAGTTGTCCAATTTATTCCACAGTTCATCCTGTTTGGAAATTGTTTGGATACTTCAGGTAGCACTACCGGCACAAATTTAAGGAACTTGTCCAACCGGGACATCCTGCGGTGACATGCCGAGCTTGGGAGTGGGGCAACCTACTACGAGTAGCGCAAATTTGTCCAAGGCAAACCGCGGGCAAACGTGAGAGGAGGCAACGCGTTAAACATGGGTTGTGGGTGTTTCTAATCCATACATGTTTCAAGCAAAAAAACACACACACAAACACATGCGCACCATCTACATCATCTGGAGACCCATCATGTGACATGTTTCACTGTTTCAGCATTTTTGCATGGTTTTTTTTTGCCAAGACTCCAACTCAATATGTAGTTCGAAGGGCATGGTCAAATCTTCCACGAAAGCCACCGCCAGGGCCAATTTGCAGCGGACGGCGTTCGCATCTGGATGTTGATCTTGTAAGCTCCCGCTGAACCTCATCCAGGGGGATCATGTCCATCGGCCCTGCTTGGAAGATTAATATGTTCCACTCAAAACTGGCTTTTTTTTCAGGGTCAATGTGTGGATTTACTGGTAAGAGGGACAGAAAATAAAGGGATATTCATGAATGTATAGGATATTACCCTCTGGTAAACATACAAAAAGCTATTGAAAATGACAATTTATAGTGAGTTTTCCCATTAAAAATTGTTATTTTCCATAGTTATGTTAGTTTACCAGAGGGTATAGGATTATGATTCTGTACGTGCATGGATCAAAAAATGGGCATTTTGGTCCTGATTCACCATGCCCCAAAACTCCGCAAACTTGGGTACTTCACTGTTGCCAATCTTTTCCGACTGCAACATATTTTATCATATTTTCATGGTTGAAAATTGATGGTTGATTCCCCAATCCCCAAATATTTCTGAATCGTGGATGTCTCCAACTTGCAGGAAATTCTTCTGGTCTTCATCCGAAAAGATGGTCCAACATCAAAAAGAAACGACAGATGGCCTGGGCAGCCCAATGGCAACCGGACTCTCCAAATGTTCTTTGGAGTTATTCGAGTTGTTCAATAAAAAGAAATCGGCGTTCATCCCAATCCCAACCCCATGTAATTTTTTAAATTGATCTGGAAAAAAAATAGATATGTATAATGTGTTTTGTGTGTGAGCTGGGAAATCACCATCTAGAATCTACCATATCTATATATAATTTATGATGTTTATACAAAAATATCTATAATATTCCATCATTTCTATAAGCATATGGAATACATAAAATAATAATTCCATATGGTTTATCTATAATATAGATATGTTTATGATATTCCATATGGTTTATACAAAAATATCTATAAAATCACCATATGGATATCATCTCCGGCGATCTGTTGGGAGGTGACCTTCGCGGCGTGAAAAACCGCTGGGAGATAAGGCTGGGAGATAGCCACATAATGATATAGCATATATATATATATATAGATACATATACATCCCGGCGCCTGGTTTACCGCGCGTGTGTTTTGGCATTTTCTTAAGAGTCTTTACGATGACCTTCATGTTTATCTCTTGGTATTTCCAGAACTTTTGAAGCAATCATCATCATGTTTGGTCAGAAAATGTGGCTAATTCCATTGTGTTTTATTGTTTCATCATTTTTCACTTGTATTTGCACGCTTTTGTGAACGCCAGGAGTAGAAAGAGGCTGTTTCAGGATGCCTTGTTTCTTGATGGATTTGCGTTTCGCCACAGGGAGAGAACAAAAAAATCGGACTTTTCGGTTTTTTTCTGGCGAAGCACTTTCACTGCATGTTCGCTCGAAGAGTCTCGGCTGTCAAACGGCTCAGATTGGCACAGGCACTGTTTTCCCAGCGCCATTGCCATTGGTATGTGTGCAAGTGCACGAGACGAGGTCGGTAGCGTAGCATCAGGTATGTGTGCAAGTGCAAGAGAAGAGACCGGTAGCGTAGCATCACGTATGTGTGCTAGTGCCATTGAACGTTCTTAGCCCACCCCACCCCACCCCACACAAACCCATCTGTAGCGTAGCATCAGGTATGTGTGCAAGTGCAAGAGACGAGGTCGGTAGCGTAGCATCAGGTATGTGTGCAAGTGCACGAGACGAGGTCGGTAGCGTAGCATCAGGTATGTGTGCAAGTGCAAGAGACGAGGTCGCTAGCGTAGCATCAATTATGTGTGCTAGTGCCATTGAACGTTATTAGCCCACCCCACCCCACCCCAACCCACCCCACCCCAACCCACCACACCCCATCGGCCAAAAAAAACACAAAAACGCACGTACGGTAAACCAGCCGCCAGCATATACATGTGCACACAGTTGTGTATGTGTATATATATATTATAATAATATATATATATATCTATATAAATACATTATATATATATATGTATGTTTGCATGTTTATGTACCACATCTCAGGTGTATCGTTTATTCAGCGCACACATCCACCGCCTAGCAGCTGATTGAATACCCACTTCTCCTCGGCCAGTAGAGGCACGTCAGTCCAGCAGTTGTCCTGGATCAGTAGGTGTACCCCAATGGTGACTTAATGGTGTTTAATGGTGTTTAATGGTGTTTAATGAGGACTTAAGACTTAAGAATGATTTGCTCTCTGGTAAACTAACATAGCTATTGAAAATGGCCCATAGAAATAGTTGACTTACCTGTTAAAAAATATGATGGTAAACTAACATAGCTATTGAAAATGGCCCATAGAAATAGTTGACGTACCTATTAAAAATGATGATTTTCCATAGTTATGTTAGTTTACCGGAGAATCACCATCTTTAATATTTAAATCAACGATTTCTATGATCCATGTTCAATAGCAAACTGCAACGAATTACCAGAGGGTATTTTTCATTCCAGTGACGTCGTGATGTCTGAGGTCACTAGTAATGCTACCTACTTGCATTCCAGTAGATTCCACTCCGTCCCATTCCATCACATTGCCATACCATACCATACCATACCATACCATACATTGCCTTACATACACTGAGAAACCCGACAAGCATTATATTCCATACTCAGACAAACACTACATGCGCTGCATATATTAAATTACATGACGCTACACTACAGTACATCTCATTACATTAGACCAAATTACACTACACTACACTACACTACACTACACTACACTCACTACATTACATACTTTCCACACATTTACATACATACGTACCTACGTACGAGTACTTACACACACACACAACAACATATTTGAGAATATCAATTACTTGCATACGACACGTTGCATACTTTAGATACATTTCATTACCTTACATCACATTACATTATATACATACATTCCAGTACATCGCATTACAGTACAGCGCACTACATTACATTCCGGTAGAGTGCTTCGCACTACATTACATCACAGCGCATTGAATCATTGTCTGGGTAAATTATATATATAATATTTCACTGTCCTGAAAGAATGCCATTTGGGGCGATTCCCCGAATCCTAACCATCATTCTAGAGTGAGGCAGAACAGTGAAGTCGTTGTAATTGTATTCCATTGTATCACATTACATGCTTACATGAATGCACCTACGTCCCTGCCTTAGATAAATATATGTGACCCAAGAAAATGGGGGCTGGGTTGGTTCTGTTTCAGCTGTCTGGGGTTCAAAACCAAGTACAAACCTAAACATTGCTATTGTTGTTGTTGCTGTTGTTGCTGCTGCTGCTGTTGCTGGCGTTGATGGTGCTGTTGGTGCTGTTGTTGTTGTTGCTGTTGTTGGTGATGTTTTTTTTGCGGTGGTGCTGGTGCTGGTATACCCCATTTCCAGACACACCCAGATATGAAAATTGGTCATATATCCTTGTATAGTGCATACCCGAATGATATCCCAAATACAAGCCATGAACTCGCGCATAAATTATGCATCGCACATGTATAAATATATGAAAAAAAACTCTAGAGTACATGCATAAAATATTGTAATATAATATAATATATGTAATGTATGTAATGTATGTAATGTATGTAGTGTATGTAATGTATGTAATGTATGTAATGTATGTAATGTATGTAATGTATGTAATGTATGTAATGTATGTAATGTATGTAATGTATGTAATGTATGTAATGTGATGTAATGTGATGTAATGTGTATGTAATGTATGTAATGTGATGTAATGTGTGTGTAATGTATGTAATGTGATGTAATGTGATGTAATGTGTTGTAATGTGATGTAATGTGATGTAATGTGATGTATTGTATGTAATGTATGGAATGTGATGTGATGTGATATAATGTAATGTAACGTAACGTATGGTAATGTATGTGATGTGATGTGATGTGATGTGATATAATGTAATGTAGCGTAACGTAAGGTAAGGTATGTGATGTGATGTCATGTGATGTCATGTCTAATGTATGTATATAAACATATATAAACATATATATATATTGTATATATCATACATAGATATAACTAATATCATTATTCTACATAGTTCTGCATATAAAATCCTTTCTGCCACAGCTTTGGTCCAGCTCTCGGAAGGCGGAGTTGTAGTCGCGGCGCAAGAGCTGAAGAAGCGCCAGGTAGAGAGAGGCCGCCAAACTCATGGTCTGGGCGTCCAGGTTTTGTGGATGAAATGACTGGGAAATTTTGTGGATGAATGTATCTATGGGAAAGATGATGATGGTTATCAATGGTTATATAATGGTTATATAATGGTTATATAATGGTTATATAATGGTTATATAATGGTTATATAATGGTTATATAATGGTTATATAATGGTTATTAATGGCTATTAATGATTATTAATGATTATTGATGATGATGATGATGATAATCAATGGGATAATATATACGGGGAATACAACAATCAATGGAATTGGAGGTGTCCCAAGTCCTAAGTCATGGGGTACCCCGGGACCCTCAGTAATATCATCCATGTGTTTTTGAGATCTTCCAGGAATCTTCCATTATAAACCATCCAAACTTTGGGGTACCAGCATTTTGGGAAACCCCCAAATGGATTGCTCTTCCACCGAGAAAGTGTAGATGGGGATGTGTTTTTTCTATTTTCCAAGAATAGAAGTTGAGCAAGATAAAGAAAAGGGTCTGCGCGTGTTTTTTCTGATTTCATCAGGTTTCATCAGCTAAACACGGGAGTTGAAACCAGACATTCTGGAGGCAAAAAATGATGATAAAATCAATGCTAACGATCTCAAGACGACAATCACTTGGACCAGGACTGAGGTATCGTCCCAGGACTTCGGAAAGCCTAAAATTGACGGCTCGCGATTTTATGGAAGAAAAAGCAAAGAATTAAAGGATGGAAACTTCACCCAAAACAAAAAGTTGGCTTAAAATCTCATGGATTTGTCTGCCGGGTGCCATCAATTTTGGACCCATTCGACTTCAAAAGTCGCAGAACGGGTCCGGCTTCATCCAATATGACTGGATCGTTCGCACTTAAATCGCCAACAGAGGATGAAAGTCAACCAGGGACCTTCAACCAGCAACAAATGAAGGTTTCCTAAAATGGGGGTACCCCTGTTCATCATCCATTTTAGATTGGGATTTTCCCATGGAAATCAACCATCCAGCTATTGGGTACCTCCATTTATGGAAACCCCCCAAATTGAAAAAAACATGGTCTTGTTCCACAGCCCTTCCTTGCCCGGTTGAGATCTAAGCCACTCCGGTGCCCCTCCAGATCCACCCCCCTGGGCCTGCAGAAACGCGTGGGTGGCATGGATGGGATAGAGGTAGTAGGGGAAGTCCATCGTCTCCTGGCGCAACGCCAGGATACGCCAGGTCTCAAAGACGCGACACCATGGCTTCATGGCTTCATGGGACATACAAAAGTGAATGGATCTTAGGAATAAAATGGCTTGTGAGATGTGAGAAATATAAATATGTCTATATATATATATACTCTATATATATATATGCTATATACTATATATATATATACACGCATATATACATATATATATATATATGTGTAATGTTACATGGTAATATCTGGACAGGGTAATACATGAATATGTGTGTAGGATCTCTATAAAGCGTACGGATTCAACCGACATCGTGTCATACTATCAGTGTCTCCCTTGCTGCGTCTAATGTATGGCCCTTGCCCGATGGGATCCAATCCAATATAGTCATATAATGTGATATAGATTTCATATAGTCTATCCCGGTCCCATGTACTCTAATATCATCTCCATCTAGCCATCAATCTGCTCCAATCTGAGCGTCTAATTTCATCCAATATGACGTTTCCATCCAAGAATCTACATGGTCGGTCCAAAATATACACTAGACATGCATAAAGAAATAACTCAACAGATGCTTACAACTTAGAGTCCCTCCCCTTTTCGCATTCAAAAAAACTGTTCGCCCCAACTGTTCGCCGCCCGATCCTGCCAACCAAAAGAAGATCGATTGAAGATCAATCGCGTGCTGAAGGCTTCCCCTCTTGACACCGGCCTCGTCACGTCCTCGAAAAAAGACACGAGAGACACGTTGACCAAAAAAAGAACAGGCAGTCAATGTTGCGATGTCATCTTGGAACAAAACAGGATGTTTAAATATATTTAACACAAAAAAACGGTCTGTTGATGTCTGGTCAGCGGGTCCACTGGCTTAGCTGAGGATCGTGATTTGGAAGTAACACGCGTAAATCACCTTGAGCATTCTCCAGCACCAAGGCCTGGTACAAGTCGCGTAGTGGGTCCATCGGGGTCTTTGACGGTCCAAGTTTGAGATTTTCGTTGACCAAAACATGTGTGATTGATATTTGTTGAAAGGGCACTTGGTTAACTTGGAATGTCAAGGAATATCGAACATATGAAACCCATCTTTTGGTGGGTCCCCATTTTCTCAACACTTAGGAACCATCAAACGTCTATCCCCCACGTTCACCGTGTCAGCGACCTGTTCCAAGCCCTCCAAGAGTTTCTGCAGCGGTTCCTCCAGGTCAGATTTCACCTTAAACAGCTGTGGCCGTCTGAGAATGTCGTGTCTATGCACGTATGTATATATATACATATATATATACATATATATATATATATATATACATATATATATATACATACATACATATACATGTTGTTTACTTATTTGTGTATTTATTATTTACATATTATACAGATCATCTACATGTATGTGTATATATATAATGTATAAATGACAGTGTATATATATATATACATATACTATGGCATCAAATATATTGTTTATATGTACATGCATATCATTTACATGGAGTATGTGGTTACATGTATGTGTATATCCATATGACTTGGATATGTATATATATATATATGATGTACAAGTGTGTATATATATATATGTATATGTATATATCATTTATATGTATATATGTACAGTGTTTTACTTACAATATATATATATATATTATTTGCATATACATTGTCTGCATATATAAATGTATAATTTACATGTAGATACATATTATCTAATTACATATATATGTACCGCATTTCCATATATGTTATCTACATGTATAAATATATTATTTACATGTACATTATCTGTATATATATATATGCGATTTACATGTGTATATATACATATATATATATATATATTATATATATACATATGAACACAGTAATTACATATGTTTATATACACACACATATATTCTTGACATATAAATTGTATATATATAGTATACAGTCACTAAATTTATCTTAGATATCATGGAAATATATAGAGGTATCCAAATCCATGGAGAACGCCACCAAGTCACAAACCATCCGCCCGAATCCTTCACTTCCAAGCGCTGTCGCGTCGGCAGCAAGGTCAGTTTCAGTCGCGGCAACTCAATCGCAGCCTAGTCGAACATGGAGAAGAGATGCTGCAGAAATGATACACTGCTACAATAATATCTATGAATATATATATAAATATTACATATGCAGCTATAATTAGATATCTAATCTCTACGTTTTTGTATATATATTATATGTATATATACACTCGATATACATATAACTCGATGGATGATCTCCGGTCCATTCGGTGGGGATGCTGCCGCCAACCGTCCATAAACCGTTCGCCGAGTGTCGATTCCACCTTCGCCTGCAAGGCATGGATACGCATGGCGATAACCCGATCAGTTGGGTATCTCGGTGAAGCACCAATTCGTTTCATGGGGATCATATAGGATATATGAAGGTCAAGCAGTCAGTTTCATGGTGATAAATAGTGATAAAGTGATAAATCATGCATATGTTGACGGGTGCATAAACGATGGAGGATCCTATTGGGGGATCCTATTGCTGGATCCATTAATTAAAAAAAATCTGGGAATCGATATAGGAAGCCATATCACCCAAGCAGAACCAGAAGATACACCGCAAACAAACATCAATGGCCTTCATGTAGAATAGCAATGGACAAAAACATAAAATCTGCCATTGTCAACTTTGTGGGGTCTCTTGATGTTTCGATTTTTTCTCGTATTTCACTATCCAGATTTTGGGGAGAAAAAAAGATGGCCCATGCCCATATTGTTCCCGCAGGAGAGCTGTCCAATGCTCGGTTTGGGAAAGACACTGATCACTTGGAGGTTTGGAACAGCTGGAAAAATTAACCGTGGGATGAAATGATGTAAGCAGGTGATGGAAAATCCAACATCATTCCCCAAAGATCATGCCATTTCTTTCGACAACAAGAACAAATCCACTGAAGAAAGCGTTCTGTTGGAATGCTGGGGGGGTTCCAGGACATACTCAGTGATGGTCAAATGTCGAGAGCACAATCGAACCTTATGCTACTGAAGGCATCCTTCCTCGGATGTGCTACCATTGACTATCTCATATTGGTGGCTTCAACAGCGACAAGATGAAAGTCAGAGGAAAATCATCGGTCGGGGTGGGAATCTTTACGAAATATTCCCAATGTTTGAGATCATCAAGCGGGGGCCTTGTCGCGGCCTGGGCATAGTTGATATTGGTGAATTATGTGGAGTTGGGTTTGTCCGAAAGTAGAGTAGGCCCTACAGTAAATCCATTGATGAATCATCATTTTCCCTATTGAAACGGCCATTCAGGGCATTCCCCCATTTTCAGACAAAGCCAGTTGACCACGTGGAGAAAATTCCGAAACCATCAACCCAATCACCAAGAGGATCAACCCCGTCTGCCCAGGCCACTGGCATGACGTGGAGGATTTTCCCAGCAAGGCATGTTTCATTTACCAGAGGGTCATTTGGACATCATTAGATGTCTAGTAGGTGGGTTCTGATCCCAACATGTTTCATGGGATCTAGCCCACCAGGCTAGGTGCTGCAAACGGGCCAAGATTCAGACTCTTTGGTCCTGAATGGTATCCCCGTTGGGTCGTTTTGATGAATGATGCACATTGAATCACATTGACAAGAGGCCAAAAAACGAACTTGTCTATAAAACCTACAGCTCTTGGACCATCTACGACTCCAAAACGACCATTTTTTTTTTCAACAACCACTTTCCAGTGGCGTTCTCGCGTCGAAACGCAGGAGCCAGGAACCATCAAATCCAAACTCCAGCGATTGGATTTTCCAATCCCCACCACTGAGCTGAAGGATCCGCTCATTCAAACGTCGCGGCAGATGATGGCACTGCCACCGCGGCATCTGTCCATCCCGGAAGGACACGAACCAAGCACCACTGTTGGAACAGCTCACATGGTCCACCTCCAGGGCTGCGGCAGATGGGTTGAATCCATGGGGGAAACACCAAGCTCCACAACTACCTAAGATGCTATAGGATGCTATAGCTATAGCTACTAAGCGCCAAGCACCTATCAGACTTTTCCGAACACAATTTGAAGATATTTGAAGCCTTTTAGCTCGGTCGTGTAGAAAGTAAATCAAAGAAACTTTGCAGAAAGTGATTGCGCACTGTGCCATCCCGCCATCCAGTGGAAGGGTCGCCACAGAGTCTATAGCGGTACAAAAACATGTGAGCCATGGTCCATGATCCAGTTCTATTCGCTTTTCTATTGGTACCAGGAGATCCGCAAGTGAGATGTTTTGAGTTTACAACCCCATTAAGGCAAGTTGAGCCATCCCAATTAGCAGTTACGCCGTTACGCCGTGACGGGCCTGTGGCAAACGGTCACGCTGTTCGGATAGAAAGAGGCGCAAGCTGTCCGGCAATCCTCAGATCATTGGGTGGATCCGATCCGCGATCGAAGATGATCTTTGAGTTGGGCAGCCAAGTAGCTGTTGTGCGCCCAGCCACCACTATCAAAGAGCACGAAGTAGCCCCCATTGGGCGCAATACAGACCTCGGCGCCAGGTCGAGGTGGGCGTTATGAATGTGGGTAAATTCCAGGGGCACCCCCAACTATGATGAATTACTGTTTCAAAATGCTAGCGCATCAACATTTATGAGCTAATTATCAACATGAAATCTGGTTTGATAGGCCTTAGATCCTAGGGATGCAGTCATTCAGTCTTTCAGTGGCCAACTCAGCCATGAAGAATGAGTCATGCAATCCATGTCTGTCAGCAAACCTTCTGTCCGGCGCGTCCAGGGACACTGTGACCATCTTATCCCATTGATTTTCATGTCGCTAAAAAAAACTGGATGCCTACGTCACCACCGAAACTTGTGTTGGATTATGATAGTCCCAAAAAAAAACATATTATATATATATACACATATATTATATACATTCATATAATATATGCATATATATATATATATACATACATACATATCTATATTCGTATACATATATGTATATGTATATATATATATACGTATGTATATACATATATATATATACATATATATATACATATGTATATATATATATACATAGAGAGAGTTATATATAACTATATGTATAACTCTATATATATATAACTATATATATATTACTTTTATTTATATATATAGAGAGAGAGAGAACTATCTATGTACTGTATATAGAACTATATATATATACGTATGTATATTGGTTAGTATAAGTCCCAAACTAATCAGCAACAGGGGTAAAAAAAAAAAAAAAACTACATAGATTTCTGTCGGGCCGCCACGGAAACTCGATGTTGTTTCTGCTCCTGTTCCTTGATCTGCTGCGACAACTCCTTAGCGTTTGCATCCCAGATGAGGGTGAGCGAGTCATCCCAGATCGCCGCATTTTGGAAATATGGAAATGACAGCAATTCCTCATAAAATGAGCATATGTATGAAATTCACATGGGCTATCTACTTCAGGATGATTATAGATCTATCTTGTTTGAATTGGCTGTGTATATATGATTATATATGTATATCTATATAGGTATACCGACTTGATGTTTTATACCATATATTACATGTCTAATCATATATTCTATATGGCGCCCCAAATTTTCATATGTATGTATGTATATATACGTTTATATATATATATATACACATACGTACGTACACATGGTAGGGATCTATGCTTGCCGGCAAACCTAGCTGTTCAACAACTGTGCAAAAACCATCCACTTATCAGTGGGTACCTACCTCACTTGGAGTGGATGTACTCAGCTTGCCGGGCTTGCCCCCAAGCACGAGGTAAACTGGCGACCCAACTCGTGCCATGGATACCCAACGAGCCCCTTCAGCCAAGCACCGACCACAGAGACCAGCAGGTGTCTCCATCCCTGAAGCGGAGGAAGTACTGTTTCTCTGGACCCAAAGCAGCATAGACAACCTCGCCGGCAACAACTTCAGCCGGTTTTGCTACGCGCTGATTGATGTTCATGTGCCGCAAGCCCAAGAATATGCTCCCCATTGGGGATTGTCATTTTTTATGGAAGGTGATTCAAATATAGAGGATCCACAAAGCTTAGTAATCCACAAACAATGTGATCCACCATTGAAAAATATATGAAGCCACAAAGCTTAGTAACTTAGTCTCTAATGACGAATCGTAAGCTCAACGTGTTTTAGGTCCTCAGCTGGGACAAAAAAAACAGCCACAAAGCACAAAACTCTGAGTCTGAAGACCTCTGAAGATCTAGAGTATCTTCTGGTCATCAAAAATGGCTGGCTGTGTAATATTCTATAAATGTAGGTTTATAGCTGGGAGACTCATCGAACAAACTGGGGGATTTCTATTGCCATGTTTGATTACCAGACGGAAATTGTAGTTTTCATGGCAATCCAAAGATGCTCTCCAAGTAGAATTGTTCGCCATTCCCAAACGATATGTCCCTTGGAAGCTCAGAAGGGTCTCTTGCTTTCAGGGTCTCCCGAAGCTACAATTCACTCAAGGATGGGTTTGAGCGCAGACCGAACCATCTGGGCATGTTCAACAAAAAACTGGTTCGTCCTTTTAACGCATCCCAAAAATATTTGTCAGCTGGGATCATCATCAACCAACAGGTTCGAGAAATGGCATGCAGACTTGTGTTTGGGCCAAAGCCAACATATTTATCCGTGCAAACAAAATCTTTGGGGCCCTTGCAAAGGAATGCTGTTTTAGGTGGGTTTGCATAACATGCAAAAAAAAGAATGTATGGTCCACTTCAGCTGCACAGTTTGAGACTCTGCTGATACCTTTTTATAAACCAATGCTTCATGATTGATCACCCCTTCTTGCAAGCACTATCGATTAGTTGATTCTCCAATATTCTCCCCATCATTGGTGATAGTTACACCCTGATCTTTTTTGCTCCTGCCATGTCCCCCGCTTGATGTCAGCATTGGCGTCAAAGCAACAGAATCATCGTTTCCTGCCGGCAGGGGCCACATCTCGGGTGAAAAACGCCAATGCACTTCAGCCTGCTCAGATCCCTTGCGTTCTCATCCTTCGTGCTTGAAATATGTCCGACAATTGTGAATTGCACACAACGTTTAAAAAAAAAAACGTCAACTCCTGGTTTCTGCATGAAGCATCATACAACTGACCAACCCCAAAACTGCATTTGGAATAGTTACCCCAATCCAATTGAACCATTGAAAATAAGCCTGTCCCATCTCATGAAAGACATTCGTTGGTTGAAAACGGTTTCACAATCCCGTGGCTTATCATAATCCCCCCTTGATTAGCTAATATAAGTCCCAACAAATTTTCACCGACCAAACATCAATCATCAGTTAGTTATATCC